CACCCCCCCCCCCCCCAAAAAAAAAAACCCAAAAAGGTGGTATTATTTCAATAAAACATCTGTCATTTAACCAATGTTCATAATAATGACACTTCTATACTTAGAAAATGGCGCTGTATGTAATAATACATATTGTATGTATTGTATGTACAGTGGTGTTCGTGGTAATGATATTTCTCGACTAAAAAATGGCGCTAATATTTAAAAAAAACTAAAAAACGTGAATGATAACGGTAACTCTGTTAAAAAATATGAAAATGGTCACTTTTAGCGGCAGCTCAGTGTGCAGGTCCAGTGCAACATGCCGATGATATTGGGGTCATATAAGGTAGCACAATGAACGCAGTAACTATATATAAATGCTTCTACATCCATCAATAAGGTCATTCTGTATACAGTTCCCCTCGTACCTCCTAGAATAAAAAATACCACAGAACTGTGACAGGTGAATGCTGATATTTGTGCGGTGAATACGGAATCAGAGCTTACACTGATATTACAGATGTAACATATAGAGGACACCCGGTGACATGTTCCGGGTCATGTTACATGTGTCTGATATTTCAGTGAAAGTTGTATCATATCTGCACCTAGGTCTTCTATGGATCCAAACATAACAGCAGCTGTAAGGCCTTGTTCACACCAGATGCAGTGCGTTCCGGCCCGATTGCACTGCATCGCATTGCGGCCGGCTCACTTTTTTGTGGGGCAGGAGGGGGCGTGGCGGGCCATTGAAGTGAATGGCACCGTAGCCACGCCCTCCGGCCGCAATGTGATTGACTGCACGGGATCACAAGGCACATAATGCCTGCGGTCCGGTGCGATCAACATAGTGCCTGCAGCATTTTGATTGTACCGCACCGGACCGCAGGCATAATGTGCCTTGCGATCCCGTGCGGCCAATCGCATTGCGGCCAGAGGGCGTGGCTACGGTGCCATTCACTTCAATGGCCCGCCACGCCCCCTCCTGCCCCACAAAAAAGTGAGGTGGCCGCAATGCGATGCAATGCTTTCTGGCCAGAATCGGGCCGGAACGCACTAATACAATGGGTCATGTATACAATGTACCGCTGTATCCTGGATGAGGGGCATCCTGGGACTCGTCACATATGTCCCATGCCGGCGGTAATACTTTGTAAATAAATACCTGTTTCCTCGTTAATCCCGTCTGTGCGCAAGCGCACATGCTCAGGTTGGCAAATTCGACTGGGTCGGCGTTCTCGACAGAACGCTAGCTGCAAATGACCTGACGTATCACAGTGTCAGCACTAAGAACGACACTTATGTTCCATTGATCACCAATCAGATTCAGACATTTATTGATAGCTGTGGGAAAGTCATCCTGGGTATCAGTACTACCACCTCCATTCAGACCAGGCATCACTATATATACATTCCTACTGCAGATCTTTACAGAATGTCATGTATTTTGTATGTTATTCTACGATGTGCAGTGTGAATATATAATAATATATGAACAATAAATGTCGGTGGTATAAAAAAAAAGAGTCACATGACTAATTGTGCTACATTTTCCACATATGTATGTGTGAAGTACGTCCTGTGTTTACCACCCTGGGGTAGGGTTGCCACCTTTTCTTCAAGTGAAACCCGAACACTCTAGCGAGGTGCGCGGCAATTTTGTTTTTGGTTGAGAATATAGAGGAGAGCGAGGGGAGGGAGTATGGAGACCGGCTGTAGAGGACTACAAATCCAAGCAATTCATTATACAGCAATACAAAGTTATATGAAGCTACAAACTCTGTGTTTTTTTGGGCTGGCACCCTGATGTGTCCAGGTGGCCTGTGTGGGCTCTCACGAGGGCTGTGCGGGCTCTAAGGTGGACTCCACGGCTCTCAGGTGAACTCTACAGGCTCTCAGGTGGGCTGTGCAGGAACTCAGGTGGACTTTGCGGACTCACATGCAGACTTTGCGGACTCACAGGTGGACTTTGCGGACTCACAGGTGGACTTTGCGGACTCACAGGTGGATAACTCAGGTGGACTTTGCGGACTCACATGCAGACTTTGCGGACTCACAGGTGGACTTTGCGGACTCACAGGTGGACTTTGCGGACTCACAGGTGGACTTTGCGGACTCACAGGTGGACTTTGCGGACTCACAGGTGGGCTCTGCGGACTCACAGGTGGGCTACCCGGATTCTCAGGTGGCTGTATGGGCTCTCAGGTGAACTCTGCAGGCTCTCAGGTGGGCTGTGCAGGAACTCAGGTGGACTTTGTGGACTCACAGGTGGGCTTTGCGGACTCGCAGGTGGGCTACGTGGATTCTCAGGTGGCTGTGTGGGCTCGCAGGTGGGCTATGCAGGCTTTGAAGAGTGCTGTGTGGGCTGTGCGGTGTCTCTTCAGGGGGCCG